TAGTAATAAAGGGTAAGTATATAGTAATAAATACAAAAGATCGATCAAAGTTAGATTTGTAAGCAAATAATAGTAATGAAAAATCACGTGGCGGACAGACGGACAAATTTTGCTCAAGATGCTAGGTTTCTGCACGTGATTACCTATATATGTAAAATCACGTGGGTGGACAGACGGACATTTTTCAACTTTTACATGTACTTGAGAGTCCTCGCTATGCTTCGGACAATTATAGTATAAATCTTATGACATTCCCGATCAAGTTAATTTAGACGAAAATGAACTAAAATACCAGATCATATTCATATATAAATTACCTTTTAGCTTTATTGATTTAATAGTTTATTCAATATACTATTGAATCAATAAAGCTAAAAGGTAATTTACATATAAATATGACTTAGTATTTTGGTTCATTTTCGTCTAAATTAACTTGATCGGAAATTATTAAGTGTTGTCAAAAGAAAACCTGTTACCAGGTTTTCAATTATATCTGTATCTAAAATTTTGATTGAAGATATCTCAATAATCACTATATCAAATTTATCTACAAACATGTAGAATTCAAATGAAAAATTTTATTGAATTTGATATAGTAATTATTGAGGTATCTTCGATTAAAATTTTAGATACAATTATAATTGAAAGCCCGATAACAGGGTTTCCTTTGACTGCACTCATATAAAGATACATTTAAGTAAAAAAAAAAATTACCTTCATAAAACGGTTTTAGGAAACAACAAATAATTTGAGATTTTTCCCAGTCTTCATCAGAGGGCATAATTTGCCCAAAGTCTGTGTCTCGCAATGCAAGATGCTCAAACACATCTTTATAAGAAATAGTAAACATAAGCATTAGGTACACAGAGTTCCAACGGGTAGGTATATCAAGAGTTGGTCGCCGATTTGATACAAGTTCATTACCACACCCAATTATAGCATCTTCAAAATTTTGAAATCTACGTTGTAAACCATCAATCCATTTTACGCATTCTCGGATTTTACATATAATGCTTTTGACTTTTTTTAGCCCATCATTAACTATAAGATTTATTATATGGGCACAACAGCATTGGTGTAATAGATATCCATTAGCAATAAGCATATTCTGGTCTTCAAGTTTATATTTTATATTAGCTATCGCAGTATCATTACTAGCCGCATTATCAGTAGTAATTGCCAATATTTTTGGTGTAATACCCCTAGTAGTTTATTCAATACTTTTTTAGTAGTAGTTGGTATTTTACAAATTTGCAGTAAATTGTACACTAGTTGCATATTGGGCAAATATTATTATTTTTTTAGTTCTAATATAACATAAATTAATGGCTCAAACTATGTCATTTCCAGGTTTAAATCAAAACTGATAGAGCTATTGGTAAAATATTATATACCTGATAGTTTTTATAATTTTACTGATAGCTCTATCAAGTCTGATATGAACCTGAAAATAACACAATTCGGGCCAATAATTAGTGCCATATCAGGACTAAAAAAGTGATGAAATTTGCCCAATACGCTTTATTTCAACTAGTAGTAGCTAAAGGGGTGACACCTAGTTACATTATTAAATTTATGTTAGTAAATTACTGTTATTAAAGCGATCATAAATTATATAAGTTATCGAAAGAGTAACATTGTAAGTTCAGATAAGTTTACAGGGTTACTCTTTATTTTTTATCAAATTTCCAAAAGTTTTAAAAGAATTAAATTCATTACCGCATTACACTCTAGACAATTTAGGATTAGCAGTAGTATAACTTTTTTCAAGTTAATCAAATAGTCAAATTGAGTTCTGAACTCTAATCTTGATTTCGAAATTAATGAAACATTGAGTGAAGATTGCTGTATAAAATAATATGCTGTCAAATAAATATATATTACTTTTAATTACCTATTGCTTGTGTATATATTATCATAATAAAGTACTAGATTACTATTCGTTATTAGATCAATTCGTGTCGTCACTTTTCTGAAAGGTTTCTTTATTAGTTAAAAACAAAGAATTATAACAATAAAATCGTTTAATAATGAGGAGTTACATATAATTTTTATTTACTACATATCGCATACTATAGAAAATAAAATTTAACAATGATGCTAAATTATTATTTAATTTATTTATCAAAACTAACTTTCAAATAAATTTTTATTATTATATAAATTAATTAAAACCATAATTTTTGATTACTTATCGTTATAACAAAAAAATAAATTTAATAATGATTATCTTGACGGATTGGTAGAATTTGATCATTATTATATAAAATATCGTAAAATAGTCTTAATAATAAAAATCTAACTTATAAATATTATTTAAATCTCTGAAATAAAAATCAAATTTCACTATTCCACCAAAATATCATTACTAAGATCATAAAAATAATGAATCCATTTCAATTTCAGTTATTCGTTGAAGCTTTAGATTCAATTGAAATTGAATCTGATTCAAATATAGATTCTGATTTTGATATAGATCCTTGTTACGATGAAATTCTTATTACCTCTATTATTTCTTATCGTTTAAATAACCCATCACGAATTATAAATATACATCCGAAATCAGATCATTGGTATTCAAATGTTTTGTTTAACTATGATGAAAAGATATAGAACCATGAACTAAGTAAAAATAATTTATTTGAAATTTACAGATTATTATGCATTATTTGTCTTCAAAATCAATAAGACTATTTTTTTTTTATTAAAGCATATTAAATTTATTTACAAGATTAGATCGAGTCCGATTTCAAGCCTGCTAATACAAAAATGATAAAGATTTATTTAACAGGTACATGCTTTCCGAATTCGAAACTCATATATCTCGCCTTTTTATTTATTAAGCTGATCTTATGTTCAGGTGATGCTTCTTTTGACTCAAGAATTTTTTTGATGACTTTAGACCAATGATCTCTAATTATCTTAAGAATCATTCTCACTCTCCACATTGAAAAGACAAGATTTTTGGCTCGAGTTTTTTGGATAGACCTTTCTTTCGCATTTACTCCCTTATAATAAGGAATAGTTACTCTTGCTAAAATAGAACTCCTTATTAGAGGAAGTGCTTATACTTATGATTAGCTCAGTTCCTAACAATTCACAATAAACCATTAGGTAATAAGAAATATTATTGGTAATATTATAGATTTAATACATTCATCCTAAAGATTTTTTAATTAAATAATATACCAGTTGCCTGCATTGTAATAAGAGGAATAGCTAATATTTCCTTTGAAAGTTCTCTTGTTAAAAATTCCCCATAGAGAGATTGAATGCGAACTAAAATGTAATCAAAATATAATTTGATTATCGATTGAAGTCGTTCTTTATCTAACTGACACTTTCTATCTCCTAATTCGTCTTTCTTTACTGGCTTTGCACCTTCTAAGAATAATGCCGCAAATTCAAGGGAAGGATTGTACTTTGTGATACAAAAAACAGTATAATCTGGTTTTCTCGATTCGTCTGACCCGAGAAGTTGTGAAAGTGAATTGGAGGTGCTGGACACAAATTAATATAATATATTATAAGGAAGATTAAATTTAACACTTAAGAAGTGGATTGATTACTTCTGTGGGATTAGTTGAGCAAGGTCTGCAACTGCGGCATCTATCTGAGGGTATAACATCTGCAGCCAAGTTGCTTCATTAATTTCTTTTAGATTTTGTTTTTGGCATTTATCAATTAATTTAAATCTAATTAAAATTTGTTAGTACAAGAATTACATTAATGGATCCAAAATATATATACTTACAGTTCCTCGACACTATTCTTAAAAAAACGTTCATCTACTCCCTTCAACTCTGGTCGTGTTATTTCTTCAATTTCATTATCCCAAATATTATCTATCCAACTTTCAACTCCTTCGGGAGGGTCGAAATTAAAATTAAAATTAAAAAGCACATCGAAGTCTTCCTTAGCTCGTACATAAGTATGTAGAGGAATTAGATATTTAATGGCATGCCATGATTTAAGAGGATGATTAGGAGGGAGGTCTACTAAATTCGTTTCTAAAATAGCATCATGGCAGTTATTAATAGTTGTTTGGTCTAGTAGCTCGGTTTTGTTATTTACGGTAGTAATTTCGTAGAATTGGTCATTTGACTTCAGTTTCTATTTTAAGCATAAAGTTAGTTAAATAAATTTTGCAGACTAAAGTTGTGCAAGTTTATACCTTGATATTGTCCCAAAAACGATTATGCATGTCTTCTTCTTTTTTTTGCCTTTTAATGTGTTCAATATTTTCTGACAAATTAAGAAATTGTTCTGTGCTTTTGAGCCCAGAATTCCACTGACCCAAGTTATGCCAAAAAAATTTAACTTTCAGGTTTGCCTAAACAAAAGATAAGTACAGTAATATTAATAATTGAATAAATTTTTTGTTTATGCTCGATCTTAAGCAAAAGCTCATAATTAACAAGTCTTTATTATAAGTAAAGAAATAAAAACTAAAGGAACCAGTTTCCCGCGAAACCTTTAGCTCAATAACTCCACCTATATTCCAAGATGGAAAGAAATACCTAGATTAAGTTATTCTCTTCCCACCATGGCATGTATAACACACTAATATTTAATCATTGCTTTAATTTTCCAATATTAAGGCATATATCACATATACCTCTGGTTCCTTAAATGTGATCTTTTCTTCAACCGCTTGTTCCACTAATTTGTTGGCGATTTTTGATGTCCAAGTATCTTTAGCACCTTGTTCATACCAATAAATGGTATTTTCTGGTGTCAAAATTAATTTTAAAGACTCTTTATCGGATAGTTTTACGAGAAATTGGATGAATCGATGTAGATTACAACTGAATACTGATGCATGTGTAAAAAAAGACTAGAGAAATATATATAATTAAAATCATTATACAATGATAATTACTTAATCGAAATTAATATACCGTAAATTTTTCTAAGGGCAACTTCTCTATGGGTGTTCCAAGATCAAACGATTTAGGATTAAGTTCAAATTTGAATGATGCATCCTTCAGAAAAAAAATTAGAAAACATAAACGAATAAAAATAATGCATTTTATCAATAAATTTTATTATTTGCCAATTTATTGTTGCTTTCAAGACTGTTTTTATCATCATATTGAACGTAAACCCAAGAAAAATTCATAAACTTTCAATTCAATTCGAGATTTACAGCTCGTTAAATTGATCGACAGAAAAAGGGTTTTTTGAAGGGAAAGTATAAATATTGAATAATTTGTGTAACAATTTTCAAATTGATAGTCTCCCAACTGAAAATTGAAAAATGGAATGCGAACATGTTTTCAAATTTGGGCAGAATTAGAATATAAATTTAGGCAGAATTAATTAAAGTACAAATTTAGAGTATAAATTTTGGGCAGAATTGGAGTTTAATTTGGGCAGAATTCTATTATAAATTTAAATAAAATTAAAGGATAAATTTGAGCAAAATTAGAATATAAATTTGGGCAAAATTAAAGTACAAATTTGGGTCCAAAATAGAGTATAAAATTTGGCAGAATTAGGGTAACACTACGTAGTTGATAGATGGAAATTAATTTATGAAATTATATATATATCGAACATAATCGATATCGATATCGATATTTAGATAAACTATTACATACTTGATATTCGATATTGATATCATAAAGTCATAACTGAAAATGCGTATTACCACAATCTTTTTTATTTCACAATTTATTTTTCCGTTGGAGGAGTTAACGTTAATGGATGCTTTTCCAAAGTTTAATCAATAAAATTACAAGTCGTTCGAATATTCTTATACAAGAAGCTGTAATGCTAGATTACATTATCCAAAGTATGGTATTAAGATATCCATCGCTATTGAATTCCCAAAGCCTAAATCTGTATACTAGATTGTACTGCTATTACAATTTAGCATTTTTTTTTATCGAATACTGAGCTTATGTTATAATCACGTGTTAAATCATGTGCGTAGAATGTATTTACATTCTAATTCATTCGTATAACTATATACCTTTTCTTTTTCTTCTACAAGAAACAAACATAATAAAAGTTAGTAAATGAATAAAATACAATTGCTATTTAGGGCACTCACCCAAAGCATGCATTGGACATGATCATGTGTGAAAAGCGATGTTAGAACGTAGCTTAATTTGGGCAGAATTCGAATGCAAAATTAAAGTATAAATTTTTGGCAGAATTAGGGTTTAATTTGGGCAG